CCGGATATAAGAGAAACCCGGATATGAGAGAGATTTTCTCTGGTCCCAAATTAGAGCCTGTGTTAATGTATATAAAATAGACCAAACCGGATATAAGAGAAACCCGGATATGAGAGAGATTTTCTCTGGCCCCAAATTAGAGCCTGTGTTAATGTATATAAAATAGACCAAACCTGGATATAAGAGACTTCTTCTCCAGTCCCGACAACTCTCTTATATCCGGGTTACACTGTAATTTTATATATATATAAGGTCCCTTAAATTGAAACATGTTTTGCAAAAAGTTCCATAACTACAACAGATAAATTTAAAATTTGAAAATGACTATAATAGAATGCATTTGCATGTTTTTTTTTTGTAATTTACCTCTAAAGAATGTCAGTCAGTTATATACCATGTGTGATACATGCTTAGGCGATCATGTATCTTTCAATACATGACTGACGAGGCAGATCTTTTCCCGCAGTAGGTTGCCATTTCTTTCTATGATAGATCAGTTGCCATCCAAGGCTATAAAACCCGGTCTGTCTTGCTATTTATCCATAACTGGGGGGAGAAGGAGAGGATGCATACATTTCCCAAGAGTATTAGCTCATAAGTGAATGTAATGGATTCAACTGGAATTCAAACTCAGCTCTCCAATTCCTCAATTCGAGCCGCTATCCATTACTCCACCGTAAGTACTTGAGTTAACAAAAAAAAAAAAAAAAAAAAACTAGCAGAAGAGGTAGGACCTACAAGGCAGCAGGTGGATTGAGTTCAGAGTTTACATTCTAGACAGGCAATGGTATATGTAGGTGGTAAATTGTCCAGACTACATGCACCCCCACCACTTCTCAGCCATACCAACAAGATCCAAAGGAATACAGGACATTAAATTTTGGGGATAGCTAGCCTTCAGTAGTTGCTGGAAAGTTGTCAGTGTCGACAGCTAACCACCTTCAGAGTTCCACTCTGGATTTTCTGTCTGGATTTACTTTCATAGACTTTTCGGTGACTTGTTTTTAATGGCAAGGCAGCCAAAGTTTAAAAATCAAGGTTTTCCTTTCTCTAGTTGGATTGCTTTCCTGGGCTGTTGAGCTCCATCTACCTGGAGCAGCTGTTTATGAAGCACCAGTTTTCCGCTTTCACCGATTCTCCAGCTTAAAGCTGGACATAGTTGTCAGAGGCTATTTGAGATGCATGACATGGAAGCTTTTTATTGACAGTGGGAGCTTGTCACCACTATCACCCCTAGGCTATGATAACCTTTGGAACATAACCTATGTATATAAACATTTATACATTACATGTTTTAGAAGACTTCCCCCACAAAGAAACAAAGAAGAAAATTAACATTTTTTTTTTTTTAAATATATAAAAAGTTAGATAAACAAAAAACACTAGAAACAGTGCATAAATAAACAAAGACAAATATTGAAAAGTTTGTTAATTTTAGAAAATGATAACAAACAAAAAAAAAAAAAAAGAAAATATATTTGAATTTAAGCATAAAATACTCAGTAAATATGAAGTTATTATTAAACATACAATAAAATAATTTATAATACTTCTCCGACAGTATTAATACCTAAACTATAAATTGGTAAAAAATGAATGAGAGTAGAAAATGCAAAGTTGATATATATATATATATAACTTTAAGTAAACAGAAAGTAAATATATGACAAATGATTGTCATCTTTAGTTGACAAAAAAAAATTTACTAAAACTGAGTAACTGGAAAAAGTTGAAAGAAATAATAATAAACATTACATATACAACATCAAATCAATATAATAATCATAATATATGTAACAAATCAATAAAATAAATAATAATTGCAAATTATATTAAATTGTTATATGACTTGTCTAAAAAAGAAGCGATATTTATATTTTTCAGTTAAGCTTAAAATGTGTCAGGTTTTTGGAGCTTTGACAAAAAGCGTTTCGTGTTGCAATCTATCAAGGCAAAGGAAAGGATTTTATTTTACAACAAGTATATAAACAAAAGTAAAAATGTCAGTTTTTCAAAATTTTTAAATTTAAGAAACTGATAAATATACATGAGGCTAACTGAAAGTCAAGTTAAATTACGGAGGATGCTAAATGATGTAATTTAATGTTTAATAAACAAAAGTGAGTAAAATGGTGATGTTGAATTAGTTTTTTATTATAATGTAATTAATATTCATATTAATTTAGGTTGAGATTAATTTATTATGCATTATATATTTTAAATAAAAGAAAGTCATGAATTCAACCATTTTCTTTTAAATCGTTAACATTCTTATAGTCATGTACGTTGGCCTGGCATAGAGGCACGTACGCACGCTGCCCTGGCATAGAGTCACGTACGCACGCTGTCCTGGCATAGAGTCACGCACGCACGTTGGCCTGGCATAGAGTCACGCACGCACGCTGCCCTGGCATAGAGTCATGTACACACGCTGGCCTGGCATAGAGTCACGTATGTTTGCCTGGCATAGAGTCACATACGTGGCCTGGGATAGAGTCACGTGACGCCGCTGGCCTGGGATAGAGTCACGACGCCGATGGCCTGGCATGGAGTCATTTTACGACGATGGCCTGGCATGGAGTCCGTCACATACGCTGCCCTGGCATAGAGTCACGACGCACGCTGCCCTGGCATAGAGTCACGCACGCACGCTGCCCTGGCATAGAGTCACGCACGCACGCTGGCCTGGCATAGAGTCACGCACGCATGCTGGCCTGGTATAGCGTCATGTATGTTTGCCTGGCATAGAGTCACATACGTGGCCTGGGATAGAGTCACTTACGCACGCTGGCCTGGCATAGAGCCACGTACGCACGCTGGCCTGGCATAGTGTCACATACGTGGCCTGGGATAGAGTCACGTACGCATGCTGGCCTGGCATAGAGTCCCTTATGCACGCTGGCCTGGGATAGAGTCATGTACGCACGATGGCCTGGGATAGAGTCACGTACGCACGATGGCCTGGGATAGAGTCACGTACTCACGATGGCCTGGCATAGAGTCACGTATGTTTGCCTGGCATAGAGCCACATACGTGGCCTGGGATAGAGTCACGTACATTTGCCTGGCATAGAGTCACGTACGTTTGCCTGGCATAGAGTCAAGTACGCACACTTCCCTGGCATAGAGTCAAGTACGCACGCTTCCCTGGCATAGAGTCACACACATACGCTGCCCTGGCATAGAGTCACGCACGCACGCTGCCCTGGCATAGAGTCACGCACGCACGATGCCCTGGCATAGAGTCACGCACGCACGCTGGCCTGGCATAGAGTCACGCACGCACGCTGGCCTGGCATAGAGTCACGTGACGCGACGCTGGCCTGGCATAGAGTCACGTATGTTTGCCTGGCATAGCGTCACATACGTGGCCTGGGATAGAGTCACATACGTGGCCTGGGATAGAGTCATGTACGCACGCTGGCCTGGGATAGAGTCACGTACGCACAATGGCCTGGGATAGAGTCACATCGCACAATGGCCTGGGATAGAGTCGCGCGACGCACAATGGCCTGGGATAGAGTCTGTGACGCGACGATGGCCTGGCATGGAGTCGCGTACTCACGATGGCCTGGCATAGAGTCACGTATGTTTGCCTGGCAGAGCCACACACGTGGGCCTGGGATAGTCCGCGACGCACGCTGGCCTGGGATAGAGTCGTGAGGGTTTGCCTGGCATAGAGGTCGGCACGACGCTTCCCTGGCATAGAGTCACGCGATGCTGCCCTGGCATAGAGTCACGCGCCGCATCGATGCCCTGGGCATAGAGTCACGCGACGCCGCGATGCCCTGGCATAGAGTCACGCGACGCGACGCTGGCCTGGCATAGAGTCACGACGCGCGCTGGCCTGGCATAGAGTCATGTATGTTTGCCTGGCATAGAGTCACATCGTGGCCTGGGATAGAGTCACTTCACGCACGCTGGCCTGGCATAGAGCCACGACGCACGCTGGCCTGGCATAGTGTCACCACGTGGCCTGGGATAGAGTCGCGACGCGACGCTGGCCTGGCATAGAGTCACTTACGCACGCTGGCCTGGGATAGAGTCATGTACGCACGATGGCCTGGGATAGAGTCACGTATGTTTGCCTGGCATAGAGCCACATACGTTGGCATGGGATAGAGTCACGTACGCACGCTGGCCTGACAGAGTCACTCACGCACGATGGCCTGGCATAGAGTCCACGTCGCGACGCTGGCCTGTGGCGCCAAGTCCGTATGTTTGCCTGGCATAGCGTCACATACGTGGCCTGGGATAGAGTCGCGTCACGCACGCTGGCCTGGGATAGAGTCCGCATCGACAATGGCCTGGGATAGAGTCGCGTGCGCACAATGGCCTGGGATAGTCGCGTCACAATGGCCTGGGATAGAGTCACGTACGCACAATGGCCTGGGATAGAGTCACGTACGCACAATGGCCTGGGATAGAGTCACGTACGCACAATGGCCTGGGATAGAGTCACGTACGCACGATGGCCTGGGATAGAGTCACGTACTCACGATGGCCTGGCATAGAGTCACGTATGTTTGCCTGGCATAGAGCCACATACGTGGCCTGGGATAGAGTCACGTACGCACGCTGGCCTGGGATAGAGTCACGTAGGTTTGCCTGGCATAGAGTCAAGTACGCACGCTTCCCTGGCATAGAGTCACGCACGTACGCTGCCCTGGCATAGAGTCACGCACATGCGATGCCCTGGCATAGAGTCACGCACGCACGATGCCCTGGCATAGAGTCACGCACGCACGCTGCCCTGGCATAGAGTCACGCACGCACGCTGGCCTGGCATAGAGTCACGTATGTTTGCCTGGCATAGCGTCACATACGTGGCCTGGGATAGAGTCACGTACACACGCTGGCCTGGGATAGAGTCACGTACGTTTGCCTGGCATAAGGTCACATACGTTGGCATGGGATAGAGTCACGTACGCACGCTGGCCTGACATAGAGTCACTTACGCACGATGGCCTGGCATGGAGTCACGCACGCACGCTGGCCTGGCATGGAGTCACTTACGCATGCTGCCCTGGCATAGAGTCACGCACGCACGCTGCCCTGGCATAGAGTCACGCATTTAAACGCAGACGCCGTTGCCCTGGCATAGAGTCACGCCGCGACGTTGCCCTGGCATAGAGTCACGACGCACGCTGGCCTGGCATAGAGTCACGTGCGCATGCTGGCCTGGCATAGAGTCATGTATGTTTGCCTGGCATAGAGTCACATCGTGGCCTGGGATAGAGTCACCACGCACGCTGGCCTGGCATAGAGCCCGCGTCGCCGCTTGGCCTGGCATAGTGTCACATACGTGGCCTGGGATAGAGTCACGTGACGCGTGCTGGCCTGGCATAGAGTCACATACATTGGCATGGGATAGAGTCACGACGCACGCTGGCCTGGCATAGAGTCACTTACGCACGCTGGCCTGGGATAGAGTCATGTACGCACGATGGCCTGGGATAGAGTCACGTATGTTTGCCTGGCATAGAAACATTACGTGGCCTGGTATATGATCGCACGCGCCGATGGCCTGGCATAGAGTCACGTGACGCACGATGGCCTGGCATAGAGTCACGTACGCCACGATGGCCTGGCATAGAGTCACGTACGCACGATGGCCTGGCATAGAGTCATGTATGCACGATGGCCTGGCATAGAGTCACGTACGCACGATGGCCTGGCATAGAGTCACATACGTGGCCTGGGATAGAGTCACGTACACACGGTGGCCTGGCATAGAGTCATGTACGTTGGCCTGGCATAAAGTCACGTACGTTGGCCTGGCATAGAGTCACGTACTCACGCTGGCCTGGCATAGAGTCACGTACGCACGATGGCCTGGCATAGAGTCACGTACGCACGATGGCCTGGCATAGAGTCACGTACGCACGATGGCCTGGCATAGAGTTACGTACGTTGGCCTGGGATAGAGTCATGTACGTTGGCTTGTATTCTATGTATATTTTTTCTTAAGGTAAGTATTGGGGGCTGCAGGTTCTAATGTGCTCTTAAATAGAATCCTGTAATTATTCCATATCTTATTCTGTCATAGAGGGGTGAATACAAATTGTTAAGGTCATTCTTGTTGGTAGACTTTCTGTAAATCTCCAAGGTTGTTATTATTGTCAAATCAAAGGTCATTATTATTTATATGTAGCATATCTGGAAAGGGTAATTTGTTGATAGATCTGTTTTTTGGATATATTAATAGAGAATCATCTATATGTCTAAAAAAGAATTTTCAACACTTTCAAAAACCTTGAATATCTTCATCATTTAATCAACAATAGTAAAGAAAGGCATAGAAAATATATAACCGTGAAAAGGATAACAATGTTATTAACAACAATGACAATAAACAAGTTAAAAACAAGCATACAACCTAGTAACTCCTTAACATCTATAATCCTAAACAATTGTCTTTAAATTAAGTGGCAGCAGAAGAATTATTGTTGAACTTTTAAAAGGTAAACTTAACTATTAATCTAATACTTAAATGCAGTGATCAATTTTGAGTTCTTTTGTAGTTTATTGTTGCCTGTTGCATCTACTCCTCCCTACCTATTGTGACGAACTCCCAAACAAGAGCCTTTCACAGGAAGTAGATTAATTGCCACCCAATAGGGGGCAGCTTTTACGCTGACATATATATATATATATATATATATATATATATATATATATATATATATATATATATATATGAAAAAAATATAGTTTTAAGGTATGCTATATATATGAGATAAAGTGCTCAATATCAGAGATAGGGTGTATGTAAATATAAAAGTGAACATTGAAGTCAACAGATGAAACAGTCTGTCGCCTCTGAGTGTTGACTTCAATGTTTGCTTATATATATATATATATATATATATATATATATATATATAAGCTAGTAGACATCAAGTTCAGCAAGCCCAGGCTAATCCTGCTATGACCTTTGCAGTTCTCCAATGCTCACTGGCCAATGTCGGAATCAATTTGCATACCTCTACAGTGTGATAAAATCTGAACAATGCCAATCTTCATGGCAGAATGCCTACAAAAATCCACTGTTTACGAAATAGCACAAGCGTGCTTGACTCAACTATGCCAAAGTACATAAAATAAGCTACAAACATTTTGGCACAAGGTTTTATAGTTGGATGAGACCAAACTGAAGATTTTGGGGAGGAACAATAGGCAGTCTATCTGGTGAGAAGGAACAGGAAAAATAGTATGCATTGATAGCACAATTAACTCTGCAAGATACCAAGCACTTTTGAACGAAAGTGTTTTGTCCTCAGTTCAAAAGTTGGGTTTAGGTCAAAGTTGGAACCTCCAACTGAAGCATCAAAGGAAATCCAGAAAAAAATGGGTTTATAAAAAGAAATCCTCATCTAAACCCAACTGAAAATCTGTGATTCAAGTGAAAGAAGGCAGCGCGTGCCAGAAACCCAGGTAATATTGAGCAATTGTGGGAGTTTTGCCAAGAAGAAAAATGGTCTAAAATCAGCACTCACTACTTCCAGAAACTTCTTAAAATTATAGAAAAAGACTGGTTGACATTTTAACCTCAAAAGGAGCAATCGCCATATATTAAATGCAAGGGCCCACTTACTTTTGCATATCTTAATTTTTAATTAATATTTATATACTAACTGGATAAAAAACTTTGGAAGTGATTGTAATTGATTTAATAAAAGTTTTAAATTGAAACTGCCTTGGCTTGGTAGAAAGTGTAAAATTCTAACCGATATAGTAGTAAATTGGTTTCTGCTACCTTTTTTTGGGCCAAATTATGTGTTGTTTTTTGGAACCTGTCCAGTGTTTCCTTCTTTTACCAGAGAACATCAGTCCCATCTTAGTAAGAGCTCATTTATCTACAAGTTCAAGTGCCAGTGCGAAGCTGAGTACATAGGACGGACTAGTCTTAGATTGAAACAAGGTTGGACCAACACGTTCCTAAATTTGGTAGATTGCATTCAAGTAATCATACTCGTGTATCACAATCTGTACACAACTCGACAATTGGATAGCACCTATTGGAGAATGAGAGGTGCTCATTGTGTTTCATGACTGATTCATTCTTTTTTTTGCATATGGGTAGGTCTAAACATCACTTGCTATTTTTAGAAGCTGTTTGTCTTAAATTGCAGTGGCCATCTCTTTGCAGACAAAAGGAGAACTTTTGGCAGTCCCTTCACTTATTTGGAGGTTAGTGAGAGAGACTTTTTTTTTGTTTTATGCTCTGGTTGGTTTATTTACATTGGTTCTTAAATTTACGTACTTATTTTAATCATAAATTTGTTTTAGCCATGTTCTAACTTTATCTCCAATTTCCACATATTTGCAGACCAATTTTGTTACATCAGCTCTGCCAATGATCGGCCTCTGAAGAAGCATTGACTGAAAGGTTACCTAGGCCCATAAAGAAAAATAAAAAAAAACCCACAAAATTATGTCTATTCAGTTGTGTGTATATATATATATATCTGTCTATATTTCTGAGATGAGGTATTATGTACAGTATTTACATTAGTCGGACTATTGTCCTCATCTTTGTCGCCATATTTGTCACAACGTTTCGGCCGTTGTACGCTCCGGCCTTCTTCAGGTGGTTGGAATTTCGAACTAAACCCTTTATTTCGATCGCTGTTCTAATTCCACGTGCCATGTTCGATGGATGTCAGTTATCAGTTATCTCCTGCTAATTTTCCCTCTGAAAGTTCTCCACTGCCTTAACCAGGAATTGAACTCACCTTCTTTGGGTCTGTCACTGGATCTAACCAACGCCTTTATCCACTGTGCCATGTGTCCTTGAGGACATCTGGGTATGAACTTCTGAGTATTATAAACCTAATGTTTTCAGCATCATTTTTACCAGTGCTCATATTGCAATTTTTGCTGTTATCATTGCATGTCTTTACCAGAGTTCATATTGCAACTTTGTTATCATTGCTTTTCTCTGGCACTCCTTATTACTGGTTCCCATATTGTATTTATTTCTATGCTTGGTCGGCTCAGGAGATTTTTGTGGCCTAGCATATGTGCTGATTCCTTAAGTTCTGAATTTTCCAATGGTGTTCCCTGTCTATGATCTCAACATGATCCCACAGGGGGCGGTGATCTCCTTTCTCTCCATATGTGGTCAGCCACGCCTGATTTTTCTACTTCCCTCGCGTTACAGCTTTCTGGTGTTCTTGAAGCCTTACCTTGAGGGGGCGGCCTGTCTCTCCTTTATATTCCTTTCCGCAGCTGCATGGGATAGCGTATACACAGTCTTTAGTCATGTTCCTCTCTATGGGGGTCTCACTGCGTGAGAGATACCTGCAGTGTTGTCACGCTTTTTTGAAGGTTGTCCCTGATGTTATATGGACCTTAGATCTTTTGTATTTTCTCTGATAACCCTTCACATAAGGCAGGCAGACTGTTTTCTGAGTGTTGTTGTCCTCCTCCTCCTCCTCCTCTTGTACCCGCCTATCCCAGTTTTTGGGGGCTGCTGCCATGTACCCAGGGTAGTTGTTGCGTTTGGGTACTACTTATACTGACCAATTCCTTATCTAACGTCTCTGGATCGCCACTTATGACTTTTTGCTCGATGTTGTAAGCATCGGACGATCCCTTTCTTTACGCTGTATGGATGGTGGGAGTTGAAATTGAGGTACTGTCCGGTGAATGTTGGTTTACGGTATACGGATGTCTTGAACCCATTCTCTGTTCGAGATATTAGTACATCCAGGAATGGGAGTGAGTTGTTACTCTCTTTCTCCATTGTGAACTGTATCGAAGGTCTTATTGAGTTCACATGGTCCAGAAGAACCTGGACTTCTTCCTGATGTGGCCAGAGTATGAAAGTGTCATCTACGTGCCGTAACCATATAGTTGGCTTTAGCGATATAGACTCTAATGCCATTTCTTCAAAGTATTCCATGTATATATTCGCCATTGCTGGTGATAATGGCGAGCCCATTGCTAAGCCCTCATCCTGTCGATATATGTGAGATCCCATTCCGAAGTGTGTTGTTTGTGTACAGAAAGTCAACATCTCCATCAGATTATCTATTGGAATACTGGTCCGCTCCTCTAGGGAAGAGTCAGAGGTTAATCTATCTCTGACTACTGAGAGTGCCTCCTCCGTGGGTACCTTGGTGAACAGACTCACCACGTCCAAGCTCACCATCTGGTTGGATAGAATGGGAGCATGTTGAGATCATAGACAGGGAACACCATTGGAAAATTCGTAAACTTAAGGAATCAGCACATATGCTAGGCCACAAAAATCTCCTGAGCCGACCAAGCATAGAAATAAATACAATATGGGAACCAGTAATAAGGAGTGCCAGAGAAAAGCAATGATAACAAAGTTGCAATATGAACTCTGGTAAAGACATGCAATGATAACAGCAAAAATTGCAATATGAGCACTGGTAAAAATGATGCTGAAAACATTAGGTTTATAATACTCAGAAGTTCATACCCAGATGTCCTCAAGGACACATGGCACAGTGGATAAAGGCGTTGGTTAGATCCAGTGACAGACCCAAGAAGGTGAGTTCAATTCCTGGTTAAGGCAGTGGAGAACTTTCAGAGGGAAAATTAGCAGGAGATAACTGATAACTGACATCCATCGAACATGGCACTAATGGAATTAGAACAGTCTACCCCA